TCAGCTTTCTTTTTTTTTTTTTTTTAGTTTTTGTTTTGTTTTCTTTATTTTATTTTATTTTTAAGTTGTGGAACAAAACAAGCATTTCCAAATACAGTATAATTAAAAAATATGATTGCACATGAAACTGCAAGTCTATTATGTATAACTTGCTATTCCTTTTAAATATACAATAAAGTTATCATATACATTTCTTTTTTTCTTTCCTCCTTGCCCCTCCCAAAATGACTACCATTAGATATACACGCACACACACATACACACGTATATGTAATGTCATTCTATACATACTTCTATTTATCAGTTCTTTCTCTGTATGTAGATAGCATCTTCCTTCATATGTCCTTTGTAGTTAATTTGGGTATTTATAACAGTCAAAATTACTTATTCACTCAAAGTTGTTCTTAAAACACTGTTGCTGTTACCATATATTATGTTCTCTTGGTTCTGCTTATTTTGCTCTTCATTATTTCATGCAAGTCTATCCATGTTTTTCCAAGATCCTTGAGCTCATCATTTCTTATAACACAGTAATATTTCATCACAATCATATACAACAACTTGTTCAGCCATTCCCCAAATGATGGGCATCCCTGCAATTTCCAGTTCTTTGCTTGCCATCACAAAGAGAGCTGCTATAAATATTTTAGAACATATAGGTTCTTTCCTTTTTCCCTAACCATCTTTGGAAATAGACCTAGTAGTGGTATTGATGTGTCAAAAGGTAAAAGCAGTTTAATAACTCTTTAGGCATAATTTCAGATTGTTCTCCAAAATGCTTGGATCAGTTCACAATTCCACCAACAATGAATTAGTGTCTCTGAAATCATTGCAAGTTCCCTGAAAGCAGTTGTCTGTGGCTGCTAAATGCACTGGCCCAATTTACTTTCAGACTGACTGTGTTGACAGTCTAATTTATGCAGCACAGTCACCAACAACCATGGAATGCTAGCCTTGGCATTTTCTTTACCCTCCCAGACAGCCACCTCCAGTACCCATGGACCAAATCCATCTGCCTGAGTTGTTGCCCATCCCACAGAGGAGACTCCCCACACATAACCTGGACGGATCTGGTGACAGGAGGCCAGGCAGTATTATGCCTCCTGATCAGACCACCCTCTTCCTCCATATTTACAGGGTTTTCCTGCCAATTTAACTTCAGTGTAAGCCATGGTGCATCTCATCTCATCCCAACTTGCCAAAACTTTGTTCCATGTAGGGGTTGTTCAAAGTCAGATAAGTAACTTTCTTCAGTACTTTTGAAATGATTTGGGCAAAGAGATCCATATTTTAATAAGTAATTTATCAAGTAACAAAAAGATTAGAATTTAATAATGTTTAGAAATAATAGTACCATATTCAATTATCACTAAGAAATATTTCCCTTAAAGTATAGAAACAGAAATTCTTACCACAAATCATCTTAACAATGGAAAGGAAATCAGTAATGAGTTCAACACAGAATCAGAAAGTAGGATGCTATTATTTGCCAAAGGGTTGACTTCTGCTCCTTGGTTAGGTAGGTATTCTAAGAACAACTACTAGGGCAGACAGGAATAGAGAATGTATGAAAAAGGAGTGAAATAAGGCTGGCAAAATTGTTTGGAACCAGACTGGGGAGGGTATGAAATGCCAGGCTACTGAGTTTATTCTACCCAATGAGTAATAAGCCACTGAAGATCTCTCAGCAGGTGAGTGACATGGTCAGATCTACGCATTAGGTAAATTAATGTTGGCACCTGTGTAAAAAAAAGAATTGAAGAAAAGGGAAACTGGAAGCTGGAGGAATAGTTAGGAAGGAAGCTATTAGTTAGGTGATGATGAGGGCCAGAATAATGATGCTGACAGTGTGTGAGAAGAGAAGGTATTTTCTGACTACAGAATAATACTCAAAATAAGGCAAAAAATACATGCTGAAACTTAAAATGTCATTCTAGAAACTGCATTTCTTTGACATCAGATCCACAGGAGAAAGGGAACAGCTAGGTGGCACAGTAGAGAAAGTGCAGGACCTGGAGTCAGGAAGACTCCTCTTCCTGAGTTCAGATCTGGTCTCAGACATTTCCTAGCTGTGTGACCCTGGGCAAGTCACTTAACCTCGTTTGCGACACTTTCCTCATCTGTAAAATGAGCTGGAGAAGGAAATAGTAAACCACTCCATCATCTTTCTCAAGAAAACCTCAAATAGGGTCATGAAGAACTGTACATGACTGAAAAACAACTGAACGATAACCACAGGAGAAATAGGAAACATGCCATGTAATGCCTCATCTTTTAAATTCCATCTTTGGTTTTACTGCTTATTTGAAAATGAATGTGGATAGGATTCTCATTAATAAATGAATTCAATCGTCACATCTAGTTTTATATGAGACTACTTCCATATTAACATAGATTTAGAGCTGGAAGGGGCCATGTAAGTCAGAGAATGCAACTTACTTACTTTATAAATAAGGAAAATGAGGCCTTGAAGATTTGGGGCCAGAGGTTTAACTTCCAGCTCTCCTACTACTATCTATGTATTTTTCTCATTGGCAAAAGGAGGGCATTGGATTAGATGGCCCTTGAGGTCACTTTCAGTTCTCTGACCCTATGATTTGCCTGGGTCACACAAATAATGAATTCATAGCCGGGACATGAACTCAGGTCCTCTGAAACCAGATCCAGTGTTCTTGTCCCAGAGCTCTGCTGCTTTAGGACTAATAATGCTTTGCCCACCTAGATGAAACAAATGCACAGTGCCTTGAAACAGCAAATTTGCAATAAATATTTGTTGATTGAATGAAATGAATTTGGTGAAGGAAAACGCCTTTATAATGGAGGTATTTCTAGGTCACTATCCATTTAGCATTTAATGTACAACAAAAATGCTTTATTTTTTTAATACAAGATTGGTTGGAAAATCTACATAATGATAAATATCATTAATAAAGCTTGAAATATTTTTAAAAATATTTTGTGTTATTGTTTTGGACTTATCCATAGGTTATGTACATGGTAATTTGAGCCTTTCAGGAATATAAGTAAGAACACAGAAGACCTCCAGAAAAAAAAAAAAGAAAGAAAAAAGCTCTCTGAAGTACCAAAATCTATCACAAAATCTACACTAGAATTTATTACAAACTTTACTTTTAGGAGAAGCACCTTCAAGCCCTGACTCAGAGTCTATTTCCTTTAACTGACACATAATTCTAACTCTATTTACCAAGCCCAAAACAGATTAGAAGGCTCAGTGGCAGCTGCAAGAATTAATCATCGACACACTGACAGTAAGAAAAAAAATAATAAAAAGTAGACAAGAGAATGCAGAGAGTAAGTAGCTTGTAGCCATTTCATACTGGGGCAAACATCCCTCTATGCCTCAAGAACTCGGGAGGTAATCATTGTGTATTACTTGATATTCAAAATAATGACTGGAATCATCAAAAAGAGTTAAATTGTATTTTGTATACTCAATTACATTATGAACGTCAATAAGTCATTTAGTTGCTCTGAGTCTCAGTTTCTTCATCTTTATTTTATACTTATACAAGTATTATTTTGAATATTAATATAATGAATAATGAAATTTATATTAACTACTACATAGGGTTAGTACTTTGTAAACTATTGTTGTTACTGAGTTATTTTCAGTCAAGTCCACTTCTTCATGACCCCATTTGGGGTTTTCTTGGCAAAGATAATGGAGTGGTTTGCCATTTCCTTCTCCAGCTCATTTTACAGATGAAGAAAGTGAGGCAAACAAGGTTAAGTGACTTGCCCAGGGTCACAGAGCGAGTGTCTCAGGCCACATTTGAACTCATGAATACGAGCCTTCCTGATTTCAAATTCAGTGCTCTATCCACTATACCACCTAGCTGCTTTGTAAACGCTAGAGTTACACAAATTAACCAATCAACTCACAAGTATCAATTAGGCACCTACCATGTGCTAGGTACTGTGGTAGGTATCAGGCGTACAAAGACAAAAATAAAACAATCCCTGACACCAAGATGCTTAATGGAAGGATATATTACCATATATAATTACCATTGTTACCAACTTAATAATATAAATACATATATATGTGTACATATATATGTATTATATATATATAATAACCAACTTAATAAAGATAATGGTAAAAGGATCATATATAGAGCTGGAAGGTACACCACAGGCCACTGAGTCCAATTCCCCCTTATTTTACAAATGAGGAAATAAAGGCTGAGGGCTTAAGTGATTTATCTGCCCACAGTCACCCAACCAGTCAGACAGGACTTGAATTCATCTTCCTAATATTGTTCCTTACACACGGATCCTGAGTGTGTACACTATTCCCACTGTCATGATGTGTAGACTTGCGGCAGACTGCGTCCAAGATTTGGGAAAAATTTTCTGTTGCTACTTTTCTCACATGCCTTCACTTTGAATCAACCATATCACTAGTAAGAACAAACACACTGGCAGGGATGAGTGAACTATGATCTCTGGTGGGTAGAAATTCACCGAGCTTTGAACCTAAGGATAAATTCCTGGAGAACACTGCTGCAAAGGATGGGTGATAGCACACCTGTAAACTAAGTTCTTACCTTTCAAAAGCTTGACAACTAAAGGTCTTTAAAAATACCATTTATGGGGTAAAGAGTTCTTGGTGACCATTGGTTTCTGGGTGGTAGTAACTACACAACAGGTCTAGTTAGAGACACGGTGTGAAATGCTGAGTGTCTTTGTGACTTACTTAGCTTTCCCAAACTAAGTTGCTGATCATTTGGTAGTTCACAAAATAACTGATAGTATTTCTCAGGTGTTTACTAGCTGGAAAATATGAACTATCTACCCACTTACAGCTGACCAATGTCTTTATCACTAGTTCAACCTTTGAACCAATGTAGTTAACTCTAAAAAACAAACAAAAACCTTATGATTCATTAAAACACACACCACATCAATAATACAAAATTTTGAAAAAAATCAGTTTATTAAGAATATTTTACATTTCACTCAAATATACTTACAACTCAAGGCATGAATACAGTCATATTTACCCTTGCAGGCACCACTGGTATAGAAGTAATCCCCATATTCATAACACTCCCCTCTCTCCCACCCCTATCCCATCCATTCATTATTGTCTATACATAGAGCAAACACTATCTTTTATTGTAAACAAAAACAAAACACCATTAATGAGGTGTGGATACAGTGTTACAGATTTTGATACTGCTTTAGCTTATATTAGTACTCTACTGGTACTTCTTTTTAAAACTATGTAATTTTTCACCAGATTCTTATAAAAGGTGTATCCTGCATTTTATTCAGTGCTGGACTGGCCTATCCCCTGGAGACTGAGGAGTGTACATTACAGCTTCTTAATCAATTTCACCAGGTGTCAGTCCTACCTGCTTGGCTTACCACATCTACTTCACAATTCCTGAAATCTGCTCCTGGGTTCTTAAACTGATGTATATAAACAGTATGGAGAAATCTCTAATACAGTAATCTGTCCCTCAGAAGGAGGAGGTGTGACAGGTGAGTGACAGGCATGGAGATCCTAGCAGGTAGTTCTACTGGCCAGGATAGTATTTCAGGCCATGTCCACCCTGGATAAACAATACCTATTGTTTTACTTCTTTAACAAGCCCCATTTAGGCTCTTTTAGATTCTTTAGAGTGAAAGCTATCTTATCTTTCCTTTTCAACACGTTTCTTAGAATGAAAAAGTAAAAAAAAATAATAATACAGGGAATTTCCTTTAATACAGTACAACTCAGATCCAAGATCTCTCCCTGTTATTCTTTCCAAAGCATGACTCACAGCCTATAGTCATACAAAAAAACAAACTGCAATAAACAGTTTCAGTAGATACAACTAAGCCACTAACCAGACATCTGAAGAAATATAGATCACAACTTACAATGTAATGTAATTTGAATAGTTATAAGAGTTTGCATTTCTGTTTATGTTTAAAGATTAGATTATATGAAAGGTAGAGAAATTTTTTTTTTACACCAACAAAGGTATTCTCTGGACTAGCTAATAAAATCTAGACAAATGGTGCCTCAATACATAAAATACCTTTAAAGAATGGTTAACATCAACCAAAATAATTCAACATTAATTAATAGATATTAAGCTATAGCTATCTACACATCTTCCCTGAAGGCTCTCACACCTTATTTTACCTTATCCCCCAGGGCATCTGGATAGGAAACATACAGCATTCTAGAGAACAAAGATCAGCATTTGCTTTTTGACTCATCAAGGGTGAGTTTACTGCTTTATCGGTATTGTAGGAAGTCTTTAAGGAGCGTTGGAAGCTGGAGCTGGGGAACAAGATGTAGCCTTGCTCTTCCTATGCAGTTGCGAATAGACAGCCGGCAAAGTTGGCACAGAGAGCTTGGGGTGGCTATAAATAAAGTACAGGAGGGTTTTGACAATCAAGGCCCATGTAGATTTTCTGAGCTTCAACATTTTATCAATCCGCTTCAACAAATATTACACAACAGATGACATGCTCTATGGTACATTTTATTGATAACAGTTCAGATCCCTGAATAAAAATTGCGTCTCGAAGCTGAAATAAAAGTAGTGGTTTACACTCCTAATTTTCTGGCTTCTGAAGTGCAAGATAACGATTTAATTTTGCTCTTAGAAGTGAGGCTAGTATAGATAAGCCAAAAAAAGAGGATTGTGAATGGATCCAAGGGGAAATTTAACCCAAAATAGTACTTTTCCAAACTGGGGAGAAGCGTGTGATTTGAAATGAAATTTACTGTAACATCTATATGTAGGCTTGAGAAAGGGGAACATGTGTTGTTACATTAAAAAATAGCACGAGTAATCACCATTTTGTGAAGCTGAGTTTTAGCTGCTTGTAAGTCACCTGATTTTAAAGAAGTCACAAGAAGGAATGTCACAAAACCACCCCTTTTCCTCTCACCTCAGTGTCCCTTGATCCAACAAGAAACCAGGTGTCTCAATCCCTATAATCCTGTTTTTCAGACCCTCCAAATAGAAATCAACGGTCATTGGCTGTGTCTACCAAGAGCCTTGGTCCTGGTTTGTTTCTGAAAATGCATGTGTTGCTAAATAAATCATTATCTGGATGTAACTATTTGGTTTCTTTATTCCACAATAACAGCATAAATATGTATAAATTTTTACACATGTAAAATGTTTCCTCCTTGTGTTTAGACTGAGTTGATGAGATTTCAGGCTCTGGGAATGAAGGTGGGACCTGTCTTTCCGCCCCCCTTTTTTTTCCTTTGGTCTTGGTGTACTCAGCACCTAGCACAGAGTTTAGCACATTTAGGGGTTGTGGGGGAGAGGGAAGGCCCTGGACCTGTGATTTTGCTGGTATGGGGAACTTCCTATCTGTAAACTCTTTCAGTAATGCAAACTAGCCAAACTTACATGCAACTTAATTCATTCATAATTTACATTCTTTAAGAATTACCTGGAAAACTGAGAGCACTTGAGGCAGGTCTTAACGCTAGGTCTTCCTAACTCCTAGGTCAGCTCCATGGTTATTACTTTTGACCTCTCATTTTGCACATAGTAGGCACTTAATAAAAGCTTGTTGAATTTAAAGCAGTACAAGTTTCCAGAAACTACTAAGCAAAGACTGAAACAGAGCTACATATTATCCTTTTCCCAAAACTGAATTAGGGTCAGCTGGGTGGTACAGTCAATAGAGCACTAGGCCTGAAGTCAATATAGCTGAAATCCAGCCTCAGACACTTGCTGCTTGTGTGACCCTGGGCAAGTCACTTAACTCATTTATCTCAGTTTCCTCATCTGCAAAATGGGGATAATAACAGAACCTACTTCCCAGGGTTGGTGTGAGGATCAAATGAAATAATAATTGTAAAGTACAGTACTTAGCACAGTGCCTGGCACATTGTAAGCACTATTATTATTATTAAATGGAAAGAATATGATAAAATAATGCAAAGAAAAAATCAGTGCTAGGAGTACAGTATCTACATTGATTATAAGTAGTTTTTAAAAGATACATGAGGGAAAATATAAATATAGAGATTAGAACAGAATTTAGCATGAGCTTACAGGGTTAGAGCTTGAAGGGCATTAGAGATCATCCACTCTACTCCCATTAGACTGTTATTAGCCCTTTAAGAGCAATTTCACACACACCCACCGAAGGTAAATTTTGTGTGTGTGTGTGTGTGTGTGTGCGCATGACCAGTGCCTACCACAATGGCTGGCCCATAGTAGACAGTTAATAAATGTAGAGTGACTAATTGACCCCTCATTTTACAAATGAAGAAAGTGGATCCCAGAGGCAAAGAGATTTGCCCAAGGTCACACAGGTAGTTGGCTTTATTGATATGTTCATAATAAAAGCAAAGAATATCAAAATCTTTGTTGAGTTAAAGAATGAGAAAATCAACAAGGCATCATTATAGACACAGTTTGAATCAAGTTGTTTGTCTATTTTCTCAGAAAAATAACTTACATATTTCCTAGATATTATGTTCTTTAGAAAATAATATATAGACTTTTAAAGGTCTTATATTTATGACAGAAAACAGTACTTACATTTCAGCAGGGACATTTTTATTTACTACTATACTTAATATTTAAAATAAAACCTAAGCCATATTTTATCCTTTTCCTCAAAATTACTTCCTTACTTTCTCTAGCTTATGTCACAACCCATTGAGTCAATATACATTTTAATGGCATTTAATTATGTATGTGTGCATTTATTTTGCTTTTTTAAAAAAAAAAGTACACGGCATTGTTGAAAGAGCTCTCTACTGTGGGGTAGGAGGTGGGGGTAGGCGGGGAAGCTACACTGGAGCCCTGGTTCTACTTCTGTGTGACCTTGGGACTCAATCTCTTTGGGTCTCAATCTTCTTATCGCAAAATGAGAGGGATGGACAATACAATGGGACCTCCAAGGTCACTTCCCGTTCTAAAATTCTTAGGATCTGTGTGTTACTTTTGTGAATCATATAATTAATCCCAGCAGTGAGAGGATTAAGAAAGACGGAGTGACCTCAAAATGAATTCCATGTTGGATTTATGAGGAGTTAAAAGAATCACAGAATCCCCAGATCTAAGAGTTACAAGGGACTCCAAAGGCAATCTGACTCAACTCTTACCTCACTAAAAATCCCGCCCCCCAGTAATGACTTTAGCAAGTGATCTTCTACTCTTTGTTTGGAGACCTTAAATGAGGACAAACCCATAACCTATTCTGCTTTGGGGTTGCTCCAATTATTAGAAGTTGGACGTATAGCCCACAGCTGCCTCTCTGAAACTTCTGCCCTTTGGAAGCAAAGAAAAACAAGTTAATCCCTCATTTATATGACAGCCTTTCAAATACTTGGAAGACAGTTTTCACATCTCCCTTAAGTCTCTTCTTCTATAAGCTAAACAACCAATTTTATCCATCAGCAGCATGATCACAAGGCTTTTCATTATCCTAGTTTAACCTGTTCTGAATGTTTTCCAGATTATCAGGGTCCTCTCTCCTAAAATGTAGCTCCCAGAGGTGAACACAGATATGCCAAATACAGTTCGGATCACTTAAAGAAGAAACGAGGTCCCTTAACTGACTATCTATATTCAGCAGCAAACCATAATGAAAGGGTATATATACGATGACAATATATCCTACATTTATTAGGCCAGTCTCAATTTCAAGAAAAAAATATTAACTTTCACAAAAGTTTTGCAAAAGAAATCTTTCTGTTGAATCACATGTCCCAATTTTTTATTTGGAAAATATGATCACTGAATATAGAAGATGACAACAATGCAATCTACATTTCCACAAGGGACAGAACCTGAGGAAATCAGTTAGAAAGATTCAGGTTATAAATAAGCCAGATTTCCTAAACAATAATTGTAAAGAAAGGCTGTGGAATATATTTCCTTGAAAATCCTTAGGGGCAGTTAGGTGGTGCAGCGGATAGAGCACTGGCCCTGGAGTCAGGAGGATTTGAGTTCAAATCTGGCCTCATCTACATAACATTCACTAACTGTGTGACTTTGGGCAAGTCACTTAACCTCAATTTCCTCACAAAAAAAAAAAAAAGAAAAAAAAAGAAATCCTTAGAAAAGTATAGACTTTTCTTATCTGTCTGTGAAGGTTTAGGTGAAATTTTTTCTGTATCCTGATGAACCAAACTAGTTGACCCCTCACAAAGTATCTGAGTGGAGGCCATCTGTGCTAACCTATATGATGACTCTATGACAACTGAAAGGTGTTGAATGAAATGGTGCAAGGGTCATGAGTCTCTGATCCAACATATGGCCAAGGCCTGTCAATATCACCTTCAGAATATCTCTTGAAAACTACCCCTGGCCTCTTCTGACACTGCCACCATACTGGTGCAGGCTCTCATTCTCTTACCCCTGGACTATTGCAATATCCTGCTGGTGAATCTCCCTACATCAAGTCTCTCCCCAATCCAATTCATCTTCCATTCAGCCATTAAAATGATTTTCCAAGAATGCAGATTTGATCATGTCACCGTCCCATTCAACAAATTCCAGTGGCTCCCTATTGCCTCCAAGATCAAATACACGATATTCTGTTTGGCATTCAAAGCCCTTCATAACCTAGCCCTCCACCTTACCATTCTTTTTATACCTTACTCCCACCATATATATTTCTATCCAGTGACATTGGCCTCCTGTCTTTTTCATGAACAAGATACTCCATCTCTTGGCTCAGGGCATTTTCTCAGGTTGTCCCTCATGTCTCCCACCTCATCTCTACCTCCTGGCTTCCCTGGTGCTTCCTTTAAGTCCCAAATAAAATCCCATCTTCTACAGGGAGCATTTCCCAGCCTGTCTTAATTCCAGTACCTTGCCTCTGCTAATTATTTCCTGTTTATCTTGTATATAGCTTGTTTGTATGTATTTGTTTGCATGTCATTTCCTTCATTAGATTATAAGTTCCCTGAGGACAGGAAATGACTTTTTACCTCTTTTTGTATTCCCAGCACTTAGCACAGTGGCTGATAGTAATTGCTTAATAACTGTTTATTAATTGACTGATTGATTGACGGTTATAGCAAAGGAACTTTTCATGTTTTGGTATAAGTAATAAACTTCTTTCTCAGTATGATCTCTGTTCAACTTCTCCACTGGGAACAGCACCTAAGTATTATGTTTTCCTATGAATCTGAAAACTGCAAAATACATCACATCAAATCAACTCTCTTGCTTGATGAAATTCACACACACACAGATGAATAAACCATGGACTTTAAGATCCCAAACATTTTGATAAATGTACATATAAAAGCCCCCCCTTACCTTCCTGCTGCAGCAACATCCTCTCTACCAAGCTGCTGGGAGTAGCTACATCCACAGGCCGCTGGAGCTCTGTATTTTTAGCATTGATGTCGGCCCCAAATTCAAGCAGAGCACCCACAATCTCTAAGCTGGACTGCTGAGCAGCAGCATGTAAAGGAGTGTCCCAGTACTTGCCTTTTTGAACATCAGCACCTTCACACGGAAAGGGAAGGATGGAGAAAAGGCTATTAAAATCCTAGAAGTCCTTAACTTTTTTTGCAACTTGTAACTACTTCTAGGTCTATTTACACAAATTATTTAAGCAAATAATTCTCTATGGAAATTATGAATGCTTCACATAATTTTACCAGATCAGGGTTAAATGGCCTTAGCAGTCTTTTATAAAATGTCCCTCTTACTTCCTCTTCTACTAAGAATTAATCAGTAAACAAACATTTATCGAACATATATGTGCCAGGCACTGTACTAAACCCTGGAGACACACACAAAAAAAATCAAAGCCAAAAAGCAATCTCTACTCTCAAGCAGCTTACTGGGGAGCCTACAGGAATATGTATGTATGTGCGTATATGCATGCATACACATATATACACGTAACATACCTATATATACGAGTGTACACATACACACATACACATATACACACACACACACATATATATGGATGTGTATACCCACACACACACACCTCTCTTTGTTCAGTTTCTCTATTGGAATAGCACTACAGCATTATATTTTTCTATTAATTTAAAAGCTAAAATATTTTGCATCAAATCAACTTCCTACTTGAAGGAATTCATATACATACCTATATGTACACATATACATACATGCAGGTATGAACATACAAAATGTATACTGACTAGATGGATAGTTGCCTTGGAATGAAAGGAACTAGTATCTGGAGACTTGGAAAAGGCTTCTTTAAGGAGGTGGTACAGTAACTGAATCTTGAAAGAAGTCAGGGATTTAAGAGGCAGAGGTTAGGAGGGAGAGCATTGCAGGCACGAGCTAAATAGAGAAATTTCTATTTGATCCTAGGGATGATAGAGAGCAACTGGAGTTTATTCAACAGGGAGGGTGAAATCACTTTGACTCCTGTGTGGAGGATTGATTGGAGAGGGGAATCCACTTAGAAGACTTTTGCAATTAGCCCAGGCAATAGGTGATGAAAACTTGAACTAGACTAGTGGCTGTTTGAGCGAAGAGGAGGGGGCCATATGTTCTAAAGAAAGAATCACAAGATGTGGCAACAGACTGGATACGTGAGGTAAGTGAGAGTGAGAAGTTAAGGATGACATCAAGGTAGAAAACCTGGATGAATGGGAGGATGGTGGTACTCTCAACAGGAGGGGTGGGATTTGTAGAGAAAGCTAACGAATTTTATTTTAGGTATCTTGCATTAGAGATGCCTAGGACATCCAGTTTGAAATGTCCAATAGGGAGCTGGTGAGGCAACTGGAGACTCAGGAGAACAGGGCTGGATGAATAGATCTGGAAATCTTCTGCATAAAGATTATAACTGAACTCATGAGAGCTGATGAGCTCACCTATAACATAGTACAGTGCAGAGGTTCTTAATCTGGAGTCCATGGATAGATTTCAGGACGTCTGTGAACTTGGATGGGGAAAAAAATACTTCTTCATTTTCAGAAACCTCTAACTAAAATTTCACATTTCCGCTAATTGTCAACGTAGGCAATAAAACCTTCTGAGAGTCCATAGATTTCACTAGGCTGTCAAAAGGACTCATGATCTCCCCCTGCCAAAAATAAAAAGGTTAAGAACCCCAGGTATGGATGAAAAAGATAAGAAGGTCCAGGATAAATCCTAGACTTTAATTTAGAAAGACCAAGGTCATCCACTGCATCTAGGGCCACTGCCAGTCATCTTGACTTTTGTCTTGCCACTGGACTTTGATTACTCTGGAAGCAGCTCTAGCCTCACTTAAATCCAATTCATGGACAAGTCAAAACATCGCCTTCCTGTTGTCACCTGTTCTCTTTGAGAATGAAAGACCAACAACGACAAAGCACACAATTAATGGACGTTATATGGATGAAGATCTAGCGAAAGAGATTGAGAAGGAACATTTAGACATGTCGGAAGAGAATCAAGAAACAGAAAAGTCACAATATACCCAGAGGGGAAAGAGCATGCAGGTGAAGGTGATTAATAGTATCAGGTACTGTACAAGTATCAGGGCAAGCAGAATGAGAAAAAAAGCCCCTAGATTTGGCAATTAAGAAATCACTGGTAACCTTCGGAAAGAGCATCTCCTGTTGAATGACGGTGTTGGAAGCCATACTGCAGAAGCAGTATGCCAGAGGCATCGTGTGTAGACAATGTTTTGGAGGAATTTGACTGAGAGAGGGAGAAGGGACATAGGACAGTAGCCTTCTGGGATACAGGTTTGAGTGAAGAATTTTTAAGGATAGAAGAGACTTGGGCATAGAACTGTACTAAACTGGGGAGCCCCAGAGTGAAAAATAGTCTTAATGATTTTCATGTCTCCCTAGCACAATGCTCTGAATGAAGTAGGTGCTGAATTAATGTTTGCTTGTTGATCTGCCTTGAATCAACTTTCCCTCCTCTTCATTTACAATACAGATAATTTTTCTTTCTTGGAAAACTCACAAAGAATGAGAATTTTAGACCAAAAAAAGGTCTTTTTTATTACTGTATTACTGTCTTGCTGATAAAGCATAGATTTTTAAAAAATGTTTTAATACACTCAGCATCATATGTGGAAAAACTACATATGTATATATAACATGTATGTATATATACATATATATATATGACTACATTGAAAATAAAACATACAGAAAAGCCAAGTGACAAAAACCTTTGAGGCAGACTTGAAGTTTTCAATTCTCTTACACGTGGCTGAGGGGTTACGAGAGCACACCAACAAAGGGAGTAACCAATGAGTGAGATCAGAGCTCCATCAAAGTGTTTCATGGATAATGATACCTTGAATATGCTTAGGAAGGTGGAGTCCAAAATGAGATGTCCCTCCAATTTTGGGCCACAGGTTGAATCATAAATCCTATCCTAGTTGGAAACCTGGAGATCTTTATTCTATGTATCATCTTTGTGACTTTGGGCAACTAACTTTGCTTCTCTAGCTTTTTTTTTTTTTTCCTTTGATCTGCAAAATGCAGATGCTAGCAGTTCCTGCCCCATTCTGCCACATACGGTTGCCCCAAATATCTAATTAGGTAGTGTATATGAAATTACTTTGAAATTTAAAGTGCCACAGGCAAGCAGAACAGCTTTGAAAGTTACATGTTAAATTTACTGTAGACTTAAAAGGAAAGGCAAGCTGTATGTAATAGAAATTTGCAGTTTTACCTCTTGTTCTGTTCTATGTTGTATATGGAAATGTTCATCTTATTTGGTGTCTATTAAGTTCAGAATAGACAAAAAAGGCAAGAGAAAAGTGTCTGGGGCAGGAAGGAGGACAATGATTTTTGTTTCATTTCCTAGGGATCTTTCTGGTAGTTTTAAGTCTCAGGTAAATCTACTGCACTATTTGCAAAAGGGGCCTGATACTCACTGGCCAATGGGAGTGTGAAAAGACTTAATCAATATTTCAAAAGTAGAGATGGGAAAAGAATTTTAATGCAAGACAAATATGCATATTCATTATTTCTTTATAATTTCATTAACAACAGTTTATTATATAATATTTGGGATTATTTTAATTTTCATATTGAATTCATCATAAATGAATTAATTTTTTATTAGGTTAAAGTATAATCACATTATTGTTCCCTACATCATTTTTCAGTTTATGAAATGGCTCCCCCAAATAACCTTGGATGTTTTTTAAAAAGAAGTTTCTGAATACTTAAATAAAAGTACTCTGTATATACATTTCACTTTTCAAATTTTACTTATTTACAATTTCTCTAAGAGGCGGTATTTCTACCACACACACACATATACACACATATTTATTTATTTATTCATTTATTTATTTTTAAATGAAATGCAGTCTGCATAGTAAATCAAGGCCCAGGGTTGGACCCTGCAAGTGCTGGGTTCAAGTCCTGTACTGAAACATATTGGATGTGGAGCCAAAAGAAATCATTTAACACCTCCCTCCACCCTCTCCCCAAACCCCCTAAGACTATATAAGTAAAAGCTAAATTGTAGACGTGCACTGACGGAGAAAGTATCTTCACTAGGATCTCCTTATATGAAATTACCTCACTGCTTTTTGTTGTACAAATTCCTATTTCCTTTCAGAAGTAATTTGATGAGTTTAAATTTATCTAATTCCTTGTTATTACATACTTAAATGATGAAAATTAAATATATATGCATACTAACACTTTAAAGATACATATAGAGAGAGGATATGAAATACATGGCATCCAATAGAATCTGTCTTTTGCTGTGAACAACAAAACTATTTTGTTCTTGCTCTATGTTATCTATAAACATTAGTATATCCACATAACAACTGTAGGCAGGCTTCAAGTGTTCAGGACTATTACAGCAGTGGACTATTAAAAAAGTCATAATTGCCATTTTGGGAATAATTCACAATATGGATTCCATGAATAAAAATATTTCTTATTTATCCACTATCTTAAAGGTATAAATGTAATAATAATCATAATAATGCTAGATAGCTAGTTGGCATAGCCTAGAGATAAGGAGACCTGAGTTCAAATCCCAAATCTGACCTTAGACACTATCTGTTTGTCCCTTGGCAAGGCACTTCACCCTGTTTACCTCAGTTTCCTCATCTATAAAATGAACTGGAGAAGGAAATGGCAAACTACTCCGGTACCTTTACCAAGAAAACCCAAAATGGCATCATGAAGAGTTGGACAGGATTAAAATGACTAAACAACAACAAATAATAATAATAAAATAACATTTACTAGACACTGTGCTAAGTGCTTTACAAATATCTTATTTGATCCTCACAACAATCCTGGGAGGAAGGTGCTATTATTATTCCCATTTTATAGCTGAGGAACTGAGACGGAGGGAGGTTAAGTGACTCGCCCAAGGTCCCAAAGCTAGTCGGTGTCAGAGGCTGGATTTTAACTCAGGCCTTCCTGACTCCTGGCCCAGTGTTCTATCCACTGTGTAATAGGAGGTAACTGGGTTGGGACGGTCAGGAAAGATTTTTCAGAGATTGAGAGGCTAGAGCTAGGTCTTAGAGGAAAGGAGAGGGCATGCCAAATAAGAGAAACAGTATGTGCAAGACAGCTGAGGTGGGAACCAGGCAAGGTCTATTTAGGAGAGTGTGAACCCATCAGTTTGGCTGAAGTGGAGGATTTGTAGAAGGGAATAGTGGGAGATAAGGTTATTTAAGCAATGGGTAATCCCCAAAGTGCTTGTATTTGGCTTTGGTGGGATGTAACCCACACAAAGACAGCTTTGGCTGGGTTACACTCAAATTTAAGCAACTTTTTTTGTTACTTTCCCAAGCAGCTATGACCAGGGGATAGAGGGCTATGTCCAAAATCAGTACTTAACTGCTGATTCCATTTTGCACAGATCAAGAGAAGGTTATGTTTTCTTGATATGAGACTCAATAAGAATGATAATCTGGCAGGTCAACCGAACACTAACATACACAGTAAGAATGCTTTTACTAAAAAGTTTCTTTCAAAATAAGGTGTTAGGTGGTGCACAGAGTGCTGGGTTTGTAGTCAGAAAGACCAGAGTTTGACCTCAGACACTTACTAGCTGTAGGACCCTGGGCAAGTCACTTAACCCCTGCCTGCAATAAACTGAAGAAGAAAATGGCAAACGCCATGGACAACTGGTCCACAAGGTCAGGACATAACTGAACAACTGAACAACAAAAAGAAATGCCCAAAACAATGGATATTTGGCTAAATTGCTAGCTGTCAAAATGCAAAGTAAATAATGAAAAGTACCTTGATGATATATAGATATCTTAGACACATACATACATATAATTTTAGACACACACATACACACGTATGTGTGTGTAATACATCTATACATGTATATGTAGATATAAATATATACATATCTTTATATATACACATTAAAAAACAACTTACCTGCATAAAGAAGTTTTTGGATGCAATGGTATTGCTGTGCCATACAAGCCACATACAGAGGAGTTCCCAGATGAGGAATGTCTTGGTCAACATCTATGCCCCAGGATATGAGAGATTCTAGACATTCACAATGGCCTGCCAATATAAAATATGGAAGAGTTTACTCTTCTTCTGAAGAATGTACTTTCAATGCCCTCCTGGAGCCAAAAAATATACTGCATTCTCTGAACTGGTCTTACTTTCTTCCCATTGTACTACATACACCTGGGATACTAATGGCATACCTCTGCTGGCTGCCTCGTGCATCGGTGAGGGAAGGCATGATTCTAGCTGAGCTTTGGCACCGTACTCCAACAGAAGCTCAACACAATTGGCACTTCCTCGGGAGCATGCATTGAATAATGGGGTCACACCATCGATTGTAGTTGCATTCACCTACAACAAATCAGAGAGAGCTGAGAATAGGACTAACAGAATAAAATATGATAAAAAATTGTAAAAAAAAAAAGTTCACATGGCCCTTTTAGAAGAATGAATTCCTTTTTAGAAACTTCAGAGAAGTAGAAGGGGTCAATTTTCCAATGATAAAATATTTGATTGGAATAGAGGTCATTTAAAATTCCTGTTGTTTTCTTTTTTGTCGTGCAGACCCAACAAAAAGGGATTGGGGATAGCAGCAATGATTCCACTAGGGCATAACACTGAAGATTCCTTTGACCTCCAATGTTTCTTCTTTTTGTGGGTTTAAACATCAAGAAATGTATATTACAGATAGAAATGTAAAGTTCAATTTTAAGGTTAATTTTTGTAATAACTTAGGGCTGATGGACAGAACAACAGGAGTGAAGACATTTCTGAGTCACAAGAGGAAGGACCCGGTTAAGGACTGTGAAAGTAGATGACAGCTTAAAATGTGGATCAAAAAGTAGGATGATCAGTGTTAGACTGGAAGCTAAATTGAGGAAGGAGGAACTCATGCATCCAGAAGGAAGTCTGGGAATCCAACTCAATCCAGTCTCTATTGATTGAGGGCCAACTATGTGCAAGGCATTGTGCTGAGTGCAACAGGGATAGAAAAATGAGTAAGACTTGGCTCCTGCCTTCAAGGAGGTTATAGTCTAGGAAAGCGTTTCTGAAAATGCAAGGCAGAATATGGTCAATCTTGCTGAGAAGAGATTTTTTTCTTTTGACTACCAATGCAGATTAGAACCAGCTCGATCAATCAATCAAATAAACCATTATCAAGTGCCTATTATATGCCAGGCAATGTGCTAAATGCTGGGGATTCAAAAAGAGGCAAAAGACAGTTCCTGCCCTCCAAAAGCTTAAACTCTCCAATTTGTTATTTCAGAGAGTTGTCTGTGGGTGCTGAGAGCTTAAGCTATTTGTCCAGGTTCATAAAGAGATGTCCAGTTATACAAGGGAAATGTTGGGGTGAGGGGAGGTTGAAGGAGGAAGAAGTCATATCAGGTTGGGAGCCTCAGTGAATATTTCATGGAGGGAATAATAAAAATAATAACAACAACAGCAGCTAACATTTATATAGTGCCACCTACTATGTGCCAGGCACTGTGTTAATTTACAATTATTTGATCCTCACGACAACTCTGGGAGGTAAGTGCTGTTATTATCCCCATTTGCACATGAGGAAACTGAGGCAAACAGGGGTTAAGTGGCTTGTTCAAGGTCACCTAACTAATAAGTTCCTGAGGCTGAATTTGAACTTAGCTCTTCCTAACTCTAGGCCCAGCACTCTATCCACTGCACCACTGGCACTGGAGGTAGAACTAAATAATAAGTAGGCTTTTGAAAGGTAGAGAAGTGAGATTAAGGTAGTCCAGGGAGAAAGAATAATACAAGGAAAAGAAAAACTACAGAAAAAAGGCACAGGGAGCAGCCAGCAGTCTAGCTGGAATAGAAAAGAGGGCACGCATAGAGGAGTTGCTGGTGAAATTAGGTGAGGGGTCAGAACTTGGAGAGCCTTGAATGCCAACCTAAGGAATTTTCACTTAGTTCATGAGGCAAATGGGAGCACTGATTTTAAGCGGAAAAGTGCTATGATCAGAGCCGAACATTAAGAGAAATCTAGTAGTAGCCACGCAAAATAACTAAGAATGGAGGAGCTTCAGGATATTAAAAAAAAAGATGCTTACGTTGGCTCCAGCTTCGAGAAGAGTCCTGGCACATGCGACGTGATCTCCCAGACAGGCTTCGTGCAATGGAGTAACATGGTCGATTGTCACCGTATTTACATTATATCCCTAAATGTGATACAAATAACTTTCAAAGATGAGATGGAAAATATTTAGGCAAAGCCACTTATTAAACATGGCAGTTGAGAGGAACAATGTATGATAGAAGAAGCTGAGACTTCTAAGGTTTCAGTGCAGCAGGGATTATTTTATCTGGGAGGGGAAGAATGCTTGATGAAACATGCCCCTTAAGATGAGACAATGCATATAGTAGGTGCTATAGAAACGCTTATGCCCCCACCAGACTGAGCTGTCTATTGTGATAGCACTTTTCAAACCAAGGCTTGACATGGCATTAAATCCAAGTATGATGCTGATACTTTGAGCAAAAAAATACCACCTATGATGGGCTCTCAATGTTCTGTTTTTTAAATGTCTCCAACAGAATGTGATGCTGCTCTGAAGCATCTTCTAGGGATTTGCTGAAAAGTAGAAATGTTTAATTCTTTACAAGTAGGGTGCCTGAGAAAGAGAGCACTTCCATGCCCTTCAGCAGTAAATGCTTACTATATTGTCTTTAAATGCAATATGAGATAATTTTAATAAAATTTGACATTTTTCAAAATGTTGTGTTTGGTGATCTTTGAGATTCTATAATTGTTTTCTTTTTTTTTCCTCTACGGGGTGGGGAGACAAGCGCTTCTTGGTGGTTGTTTCTTCGTTTGGTGGGGGCTATAAGATATAATAACAGTGCTCCAGGCGATCCAGGGTGGGAAAAAATCTCCTTTGTGTAGTTCATTCTTTTTTCAATTGCAATAAAAGCAAACTAACTGAAGCATTCTTTAGCTCTAGCAATCAGCAAACTTTATTTGGAATAACTGTAGACTTTGATGACTTGCTTTGGTGAAATCTCTGCTCTTAGACTGCCCAAAGCAACTATCAAAATCTGTTCTAGGTTTACTTTATGAAGTATCACATAACTGATACACAATGATAGGCCCTATAATTGAAAGTGGATTCACAGCATTATCAAATTAGAGCAGGAAAGGCCTTTTGACCTGATCTGCTCCAAAAACCTTATATTTTACAGATGAGGGAACTGAAGGCCAGAGATGGAAGTGTCTTGCTTAAAGTCACACAGTTAGCTAGTAGTCAAGGTAGGACTCTTTTGACTCACTCTTGACAACCCGATTTCTACTACCGTAGGGCAGCGAGGTGACAAAGTTGATGGAGCACCAGGCCTCAAGTCAGGAAGATTCCTCTTTCTGAATTCAGATCTGACCTCAGACACTTACTAGCTGTGTGACCTTGGGCAAGTCACTTAGCCCTGTTTGCCTCAGTTTCCTCACCTGTAAAATGAGCTGGAAAAGCAGTATCTTTGCCAAGAAAACTTCAGCCTGAAATAACTGAACAACAACACTACTGTACAACAATTATTTTTTCAGAATTTCACCAAAGATCCTAGACAGGGCCTACTGATAAGAGGGATTTAATTTTTCAAAACTAGTTTAAAAAAATGAACAAACAAACAAATCTGCAGACAGACCTTAATGTTAAATGAGAATAGGAAAAAGCCTTTATTAGGTAGACATATGGCTATCATAAGAAAAATATCCTAACATTGTCAGATTTCCAAATGCCCTTCTGGCTGCCTTGTGACTCTCCCTATCTTCTTTTAATCTAACCTGTCACTACCATCTTCCAGCCTATCTCCAGTAGCATAAAACACTATAGTAGGATCAGTAATTCTCAGAATGGAAGAGAAGAGATTCAAAATGGTGGAAGAACCAGAGCTAGGAGGAATCTTAGTGTCCCCTTCATTTTATATATCAAAAAAGTGAGTCCCAAAGGCTAAGTGATTTGCCCAGAGTCAGACAAGTAATAAGAAGGAGAGATAAGATTTGAACCTCAGTCTTCTAATGCTATCTAAAGTTTGGGTTTGGTTTTTTTTTTTCATTGCATTACAGTCTCTTTCTCATTGGCATACAGCAGTCTGGATTTAGGATTCCTTACTCTTCCATCAAAGATTTCAGGGTTTACTGGTAGGCAAGTGTGGGGAGTGGTTCCAAAACTGCCAAATACTATAACAGCAGGTTTCACTAGATACCTAAACACATGCTGAAGAATAACTTAAGCTGGCTCTCCTCTTCAAGGAACTATGTTCCTCTTTCTTAAGGGATTATGCTTCTGAAACTATTGACCTTTCATGGGTTCCTTTGTCTAGTCAAGCATTATATGTAGCAAAATCTCTATGAAGTTTTTCCATGTTTAGAAGTGGTAAGGACCTTAGGAATCACCTAGGCTAACTCCATTTTATGGGGAGATAAAGAGCTGATGATGCTGAAGTTAATGGTTCACTTAAGGTCATACAGTTAATTAGTGTCTAAGTCAGGACTAGAAAGAACCCAGATCTACTATTCTATTTGGCCTCCTCAGTGTTAGACAAACATCATCAAGCAGCAGGATGGCATAGTGGGAGGAGTACTGAACTTGAAAGTTGAATCTGACATTTGTTAGCCCTGTGACTGGGGGCACATCAGGTTCTCTAAACCTCAGAATTGTCATCTGTTAAATGGTGATAAAAATGTATGCAACTAACCTACCTCACAGGGTTGATGTGAGGAAAATGTTTGTAAAGCTTAGAGAACCAGGTAAATTAGTTATTTCTATTAATAATAACAGCTAACATCTGTAGAGCATTTTGAGGTTTGCAGAGCATTTGACATCCAATAGCCCACTTGATCCATATTACTGGTTCCATAACCCAAAGGTAAGCATTATATCTTTCATGGCATAATAACTTTAATGCATTCCTGAGGATAATATTATATTAAAAGTCTGTCTGATCAGATTTCTATTAGATTTCTGCTATCCCTTTACCACCATCCTTCCAGGCACTAAGATTACAACTTCAGTATCATCTTCAACAATTCAGTCTCTCTCACTCCACCCCACCCTCAACATCCAATGTTTTGCTAAGGTCTGTCAGTTATAAGACCCAAAACTCTCTTGCATATGTACCCGCAGGCCCACTTCTCTGACGATCTCACTGTCTCCACCCTGGGGTGGGCCTTCATCACCTCATGCCTGGAGTACTGCAATCAGCAGGCCGGTTCTCCCTGTCACATGTCTCTCCCCACCCCAGTCCAACCTCCATTCAATTGCCAAAGTAATTTTCCTAAATGCAGGTCTGACCATGTCACCCCACCTTTTCAATAAATTCCAGTGGCTCCTTATCAACCTCCCCAATCAAATATAAAATACTCTGTTGGCATTCAAAACCCTTCATCACCTATCCCTCCTCTCTCTTCCCCTCACCTTTCCAGGCCCTTACACTTTACATCACCTCCCCTCCCCTCCCACCCTACTTCGTCCTTGTACTCTTTGATCTTGTGACACTGGCCTCTTTAACTAGATCACTTCCTGACCATGGGCGTTTTCTTTGGCTGTCTTCCATCAATGGAATGCTATCCCTTTTCATCTCTGCCTCCTGACCTTCCTGGTTTCCTTCTGGTCCCAGCTAAAACTCCCCCTTCTACAGGAAACCTTTCCTGTCCCCCCCCTTAATTCTGGTGCCTTCCCTTTCTTGATTATTCCCAATTTATTCAGTTTATAGCTTGCTTGTACATAGTTGTTGCATGCTGTCTCTACAATTAATCTGTAAGCTCCTTGAGATCAAGGACTGTCTTTTACCCTTTTTTTTAAATCCCCAGAGCTCAACCAGTGCCTAACACATAGTAGGCACTTAACAAATATTTACTAACTGATTGAAGCACAGTACATGTATGCTTATACCTACGCCATGGCTGAAGCAGATGCAGATGCCTAGACTAAAAGTTCCTAGAAAACAGGGGCTGAATAAGTTAAACTACTTATTGAGAAGAGAATGTGAAGTTCTCAGAAGACTACATGTCAAGTCTACAAAGTGACACGACAGTGGGACCATAAGCTTTAGCCATTATAAGCATAGTGGCCAAAATGAAAAAAAAGAGAAGAAAAAATAATCATATTATATTTTGGTTTGCTACTGCTAGGTGACTTGGGGGATAATGCTAGACTTGGCAGTCAAGAAGACCTGAGTTTGAATCCTACCTCTGACAATTACTTAGCTGTGTGATCCTGAGCAAATCACTTAACCACTCTCAGCCTCAAAGGATCAAATAACACAAAATATAAAGTGCTTTGCTAATCTCAAAGTGCTCTATAAATGCTAACTATTGTTGTTGTTGCTGTTGGTGGAGGTCAGAATGAATCTGGAGAACTATGTTAAGAGTTCTAGGTGTTATATTTTAATAAATACATTCATTGATTAACTATAACATTCCAGCAGAGACTGGGTTAGGATGGCAAAGGGACTCAATATGATGTTTTAGCAGGATTGATTGAAAGAATGGATATTTAGCTTAAAGAAAAAAAGAACTGGAGGCTGGGGAACATGACTTGCTTTTAAATATATAGAAGGGCTACCATCTGGAGTCACGGAATAGACTTGTTCCCAGAAAGCACAGCTAAGCCCAATGGATGGAAGTTACAGCGGCAGATTACAGCTCAACAGAATAAAAAACTTCCTGATAATTAGAGCTGTCTAAAACCTGTTTGAAGAATACAGAGGTTTCCTGTTCAGATAGGGGTTAGACTAGATCAATCAATCAACACTTACTAAGCATCTACTAAGTGCCAGGCACTATGCTAAGCATGGGGATACAAAAAGAGGCAAAAGTCAGACCCTGCCCTCAAGTAGCTTACAATCTAATGGAAGAGCTACAGCCCCTTCAGACCATCAGAGGCCATGATTCTGAATGTTCTGAATAGCCTAGCACATTGAGAATACTCAATAAGGTAGTACTTCTACATATGGAAATAGGGATTTTTTTAAGGATTCAAGTCATCTCTTACCTGAGATAGTAAAGTCTTCAAAGCAAGAAGACGACCTTGACTTGCTGCTTCATGTAGAGGTGATCGATCTGCCCATGAACCTACCGGAAAAACACCCAGAAACAAAAATCCATGAGTAAAATTAATCCCTGTTACTCTTGCATTATCCCCAATGAAGGAAAGATTTAGGGGGCAACAAAGTGCCCAAAACATCTTTCCTAAGAATCTGCCAGGACCAGACCTCTTCTGCTAGGCCTACTTACTCTAGGGAGAAGTCTTACAACCACAGTTACATCACCTGAACATTCACCAGAGCGCACTGATTATGCTGAAGAATTTCTTGGTTGTTAAGAATTAGTGATTTACACAGAAGAGCACCTCCCTACAACATTTGGTACTGGTTAAAAAATAGAAAAGCAAGTCAATAGAACAGAATAGATGAAGAGGAATCAGAAACAATGAAACTCAATAACCCAGTGTTCAATAAACCTTAAAATATAGATTACCTAGGGGAAAAATGTCACTATTTGATAACAACTGCTGGAAAAACTTGAAATCAGTCTGGTAGAAATTAGCTATTAGAGCAACATCTTACAACATATCCTGCAATAAATTCAAAATAGATATGTGACCAGAATATTAAAGATCATATCATTAAAAAATGAGAAGCAGACAATATATTTTTCACAGTTTGGGCAAGGGGCAAATTTTTAACCAAACAAGGAATTCAGGCAACTACAAAATGTAAAACAATTTGAATTACGTGAAATTGAAAAGCTTCTTTTGCAAGAACAAAATTAATGCAACTAGAACAAGAAGGGAAGTCAAATGGGGGGAAAAATCTTTGTACTAAATACCTCTGAAAGGATCTGGTATCCAAGATATATAAACAACTAATAGAAATATATTAAGACCAAAAACCATTCACCAATAGATAAGTGGTCAAAGGAAAAGAATAATTATTTCTTAAAACAGAATTGCAAATTACTAACAACCCAATGAAAGAATACTCCAAAGCATTAACGATAAAAGAAATGCAAATTAAAACAATCCCTCAAATTTCACTTTATACATAGCAAATTGGCAGATGACAAAAGATGATAATAATTAATGTTGGAAGGGCTGTAGAAAGACAGGTATACTACTACTTTGTTCATTGATCCAACCAATGGGTAGCAAATAATAATCATGCAAGAGAAGCACATATTCTTGGGCCCAAAGACTCCATTGTTAGATATGTACCCCAAAAAGACCAAAGACAAAAACAGAGGCCCCAAATACACTAAAATGCTTAGAGATGCATTTTTGTGGTAGCAAAGAACTGGAAACAAATTAGATGCCCACAGTAGGTGGACATAGACAAGAGTTGCACAAGATGAAGAAGATATGTCACATGTTATCTACAGCAATGGAAAGGACCCATACCAATGATATGATTAATACACAAAGCATCTATGTCTAATAGCATCACCATTTTATAGTGTGATGTTGCTTCACTCTCTCCTTTTCGGCTCCATAAAAAGCATGCACCTTTATCGAATTTCTGACTGGTTTAAAACCTCATTTAAGCAGAAAATCCCTGGCTTGCAAGGCACCACAGACCAAAAAAAAAAAATTCAGAAAAAACAGTTCATAAAGGAATCATAAATTTATAGCTGGAAGGGACCTCAAAGTCTATCTAGCCCAATTTCTTCATTTTATGGCTAAACAATCAGATATGAAGAAGTCACATGACTTTTGTAGGGTTACACAGCTGCAGTAGCAGCCTGTCTCTGAGAAAATTGCCTTGTGAGACCCCTTTTGCCCCTAAAAAGCTTGACACAGTCCTCTGTGCAAAGGTGTTAATTGGTATGTGGCCTCCATAAAGCAGGATTACAAGAGGAAGCGAAATTTTCTCCTTTCTCTAGCATTAAATCTTTAGAATGGGGCTTCTTAACCTGGAGTTCAACAGACCCTTGGATAGATTTCAGACGGCCTGTGAACTTGGGTTGGAAAAAAAATAACATCTTTATTTTCACTAATTTAGCATTTCCTTTAATTATTTAAAAATATTATCCTGATAAGGGGTCCATAGGCCCCTTTTACAGATTGTGAAAAAGGGTCAAGAACTCCTGCTTTCAAAGGTTTCCTCCTAACAGACTTATCTTAAGTAAGTTCTCCAATCTATTGTGGGAAACTCAGGCTCGGGGATACCTAATACAGATTTTTTTTTTAACCATATCATGACAATTTAGCATTGACAAACCACATTCTAGATTGGGAAAATGCACAGCCAAGGGAACAATGGAATCTGGTGTGTCTCCAGAGCTGAGCTTTTCCATAGAAAAAGTAACATTTTATGGCTCGACTTTTAACCAACTGCTTCCCACCACTTCCTTCTTATTAGCAGTTGCTTCATCTCGGTAACAACTGTTTAAGCAGCAGCAGCAGCTGTAGGGTAGTTGACACCTATTTGAGGGAAGATTTTTATTTTTATCCTTAAAAGGTCATTGCACACAGGCTAATAATAGGAAGGATGCCAGCAGCTGACTCCCTTCCTAACTGGGGCCCCAGCTAAGAGTGGCTGACCCTGCTGCTGCTACTGCTTGAGTAACAGCACATTCTGGCAATGCTTGCCCACTTGAATTATCTCCAAGAGTGCTATTACAATTTATGGCATTAATGGTGGGGAGGAGGGGAATGCATGCTTCACAGTCCTTTTCCAGAAGAAAACTGGGACCTTCTGGGCACCAACAGGCCCTGTGACATCTGTGATATGGACTCTGGCAATGGTGTATTTGAAGCAACGTCTTTTGGGTTTCTCTTTGTTTTCAAAATACCAGATCAGAAACATTGGGCTGAGTGATCTTCTTGAGGTTCCCCCTCCTTTTCCACAAAAAGTCAGTCTTATATAATGGATAAAGTAATGAATTTGGGAGTCTGGAAAATCTGGGTTCAAATGCCATGTGAGATACTTGCTGGCTCTGCGACCCTGAACAAAGTCATTTAACTTCTATAGGACTCAGTTTCCACATATGTAAAATGAAGGGGGTGAGCTGTGATGACCTCTAAGGCCCTCTGTAACTCTAAATGTATGATCATATAAAAGTTAATTATTGCTCTTTAACTTAAAGAAATTAAAACAACTTTCAAAAATTCCCCAGTTCTGGTATGGATCACCTCCATCAAAACTCCTCAGACTTCTGTGGACCTAAGCTACTACTAAAGAGCAATTTTCATAGTCATGTCAAAGTCCGATGAGGTCAACAGCTGATTATGGCAAAGTATATTGCAATCTATTTCCGTCTTTCTGCACAGTCCCACAGACTCAGTACATGGCTTATCTTACCTTCTACTGTCTCAAGAGTTTTTCTTTAAAAAAAATATGAAGTTTTATTTTCCCACATAATTCTAAAAGTTTTGCAATCACATGACACTGCAGAAACTAATGTGGCTATAAGCATTTTGGGGCTTGAAATAAATTGATGAAGACAGAAATGCTGCTCCAAGGAGTCTGGGGTTATAGAAAATCCCTGGGATAAAGAATGACTCAAGGAAATTTCAAAGCAAAATAGAGGAAATTAAGCTTATTTTTTATAACAAAAAAATTCACATTATATAAATATTTTTATACTTATATAATTTGATATTTAGGGACAACTAGGTGGCACAGTGGATACAATGTGGAGCCTGGAGACACAAAGCCTCATCTTCCTGAATTCAAAACCAGCCTCAGACAGGCAGTAGCTGTGTGACCCTGGGCAAGTCACTTGACCCTGTTTGCGTCAGTTTCTTCTTCTGTAAAATGAACTGGAAAAGGAAATGGAAAACCACTCCAGTATCTTAGCCAAGAAAACCCCCAAATAGGATGATGAAGAATCATACAGAACTGAAACAGCTGAACAATAACTTTCATATTTAATATTTTAAACATGAAAAGATCACTGGCCAGGCATATAATAAGTGCCTAACAAATGCCTGTTGATAGATTGATAGGGGAAGGGCAGGTAAACTAGTGGGAGATAAGAGAGACAGGAGGCAGCATGTGCTAGATGGATCAAACCACAACTTTCCATTGGACTGTGGTGGTGACAGTCCAGGTTCTCAAAACCCAAAACAGGTCCCTACAGCCATCACTGAAGGGAACCACCCTGGTGGCATTCTGACTTGGCAACTGCCTCTGCAGGTAATATAGCCCTCATCCCCTCTTTCTAGTTCTCAGTAAACCACATCTATGGAAAACCTGGAAAAGAAAGTTGTTGCCACCAAAATCCCTGGTGCTGTCAAACAGTTCAACATCAGACGGTTTTATCAATGGAAAGGACATTAAGAAAGATGCACTTGCCATCTGCCTTGTTGTTTCACCCTAAAGACCATGGGGCCTTTCCATCTGACTTGAAGCTGAAACTCCCATATGTGGTGGCTCCCTCCATTGGAACGTGAGCTCCTTGAGAGCAGGGACTGTCTGTCTGACTTTTCTATGCCCAGCACTTAGTACAGAGGTTCACACGTTATAAACACTGGACAAATGCTTTTTCATTCCTTCATTCCCAAGAAATGTCTACTCACTTCATGCAGAAAAGGGGGATTTTCATGGAATATAGTTTGGGAGATGCTAGTGGAAAGGAAGGACTCTGAGGTCTTAGAGGTATAAGTCTGTTTCCTAGGTGATAGGGGCTTATCTCTCAATTCAAAAGCAGGGGATTTATTTTATCTTTTCTTCTTTGTACTCCCTACCTTAGACAGTTGTCCTGATTAAAAAAAAAGCTCTCTATAAAATAAAGGTGAGCTGTGAGTTGCTGTTCTTTGGAATACTACTAGACAGCCTAGATGAACAGTCAATTTGCTTACTCAGTTATTTCCTAAATATGGACCAAAATAAAAACCGAGGGGTAGGCAGTTCAGTAATTGTAGTGAATTCCCGTGGGTTTCTTTTGGCAACATTTCTTATTTCACTTCCTCTTAAGTAAAACCCTATATTTCAAATAGTAATTTTCTGGAGGGGCAGTAATCATCTGTTCTGTGCCAGGACAGGGATTGAGATTTATACAGCAAACCAGAAACATGGAGAATATTGACTCTTAAGACACACAGGGATGTGCTGCCACTGACTTACACAGGC